CCGGCGTCTCAGGCTCAACCGCCTCCGGAGAAGATGAGCTCGGGATCGGCATCAGCTGGGATCTTCATGGCCGACGGGTTTTCACAGACCCGCCCACCGCGTTTCGAAGGAGTACACTATGGCTATTGGAGAAACCGAATGGAGCTGTTCATATGCTCTACTGATCCAGATCTATGGAACATAGTATTGGACGGTCCGCTTGAAGTCAAGGAAACTCGTGGGAAGTGGACAGAGGAAGATAAGAGGAATTTCCAGCTCAACTCAAAGGCAACCAATCTAATGTACTGTGCTCTAGGGCCAGAGGAGTATCATCGAGTGACGGGATGCAAATCAGCTAAGGAGATCTGGGAAAAGTTGCAGATTGCACACGAAGGAACATCTCACGTCAAGATTTCCAGGATAAACAGTCTCAAACAAGATTTTGAAGCATTCGTTATGAAGCCAGAAGAATCAATCAAGGACATGAACGAGAGGTTCACAACCATTGTGAACAGCCTGAGGAATCTGGAAGTGGAATACACTAGCGCCGACTTAGTTCGCAAAGTTCTCTGGGCGCTACCCAAGAGATGGACACCTAAGGTCACAGCAATTGAGGAGTCCAAGGACCTCACCAAGCTTAGTTTGGACGAATTGATTGGGTCTCTTATTACTCATGAAGACAAACTAAGAAGAGAAGAGCTGGAGGAGCCAAGAAAGGAGAAAAAGGGGATAGCGTTTAAGGCTACCACTCAAGATGAAGAATTGGAGTGTTTGGAAGATATGGAGGATGATGAGCTTGCTATGCTAAGCAAGCATGTGGCAAAGCTTCTCAAACTTCGAAGAGAGAAGAAACGAGGAGTCTTCTCCAACCGATCGAGGGATGGTGATTTTGACAGAGAAAGCAACAAGGGAGGAAGGCAAGGACTCAGAAATCGAAGAGATGGAGGAAGCAATGAGAAACCACAATCCCAAGCTGGTTGTTTCAAATGCGGGAAGACAGGGCACATTAAAGCAGAGTGCCCACTAGGTAAGAAAGAGAGAGCATACGCAGCAACTTGGAGCTGCAGTGAGGAAGATGAAGAGGATGATGAAACCATCCCCAAGCATAGTGCATACATGGCCATTGACGAGTACGAAGGAGAACATTCCCAGGTAACTGCCTATTACTCTGATTCTGGTAGTGATGATGAACTGCTAGATGAAACTATCAGAAACATTCAAAACGAATTCATAACTGTGAAAAGCAAGTACATTTTAATTAAAGCTAGTCATGAAAATCTACTGAATGAATCTGATAAAATAAAGGCTGAGAAGATTAGAGCAGAACACGAGGTTCAGAGTCTAATGAATGAAAATACTAAGTTGAAAGAACAACTTGAGGCCACCAGGGCAGAATTATCTAAGATTAAGAATCATAACAAACCAAAGCCAGTAATCATAAGAAAACAAGAGGCTCATGGAAGTCATGAATGTTTTTACTGTCATCAAGCTGGTCACTACATAGCAAATTGTAGAAAACGTATTACTAAGGAAAACAGATCAAAACAAGTTAGATACATAAAATCTGAAAACTCTCATAACAGATTAAGTCAAGTTAGAGACAAATGCTCTGAACATATACATAATGGTTACACAAACCTAACTCAGTCCAGAAGAGCAACTAAGCTAGTCTGGATACCTAAATCTAAATAAGTGTAGTCATTCTTGCAGACCTGTCTCCAAGTGGGCATGGAGGGCAGCGTTTGGATACTCGATAGTGGTTGCTCACACCACATGACTGGTAACAAAAATCTCTTCTCAAAGCTAACTTTTGAAAACAAAGGAAAAGTATTTTTCGGAGATAACTTTAGCACAGAAATACTAAGAAAAGGTACAGTAGGCACTGTTCCATCTATTAGCAATGTGCTACTAGTAAAAGACTTAAAACATAATCTGTTGTCTATTGGACAGCTCTGTGGAAATGAAAACAGGGTAGTTTTTGAACAAGACAAATGTTTTGTGGAAAACATAGTAAGTCACAAGCCTATACTAACTGGAAAACGAAAGGGAAAACTTTTCACAATTGATCTTGAAGACAAATCTGCCTTTAATGAAACATGTCTTGTTTCTCTTGACAAGAATGATCAGTTTGAGTGGCATAGGAGGCTTGGACATGTAAGTATAGGAGTCTTGTCAAAATTAGTAAATCTTGGAATTGTTAGGGGGATTCCAAAACTTCTGAGCAAGAGAGAATTCTTCTGCGATGCTTGTGCAAAAGGAAAACACTCCAGAACCTCTTTTAAAACTAAACAAGTAATTTCTACTTCCAGAACCTTGGAATTACTTCACCTAGATCTGTTTGGTCCTAGCAATGTCAAGAGTCTAGGAGGTAAGCACTATGCCTTTGTAATTGTAGATGATTACTCAAGGTATACTTGGGTACTGTTTCTTGCTACAAAGGACGAGGCATATCAAAACTTTAAAGATTTTGTAAAACGTGTAGAAAATGAAAAACTTTCAAAAATAGGAAGTATAAGAAGTGATCATGGAGGAGAGTTTGTATCTGAAAAATTCGAAAGGTTTTGCAATAAGAAGGGAATAACTCACAATTTCTCAGCACCAAGAACACCACAACAGAATGGTGTGGTAGAAAGGAAAAACAGAACTCTAATTGACATAGCTCGAACAATGCTGAATGACTATGGAACAGCTAAGCAATTCTGGGCAGAAGCTATTAATACAGCATGTTATGTCACAAATAGAGCACTCATTAGGTCCAAGCTCAATAAGACTCCTTATGAACTCTGGAAAGATAGAAAACCTAATCTAAGTTACTTTCATCCTTTTGGATGCAAGTGCTTTACCTTAAACACCAAAGACCACTTGGGAAAATTCGATTCTAAATCTGATGAATCAATTTTTCTTGGATATGCTGTAAACAGCAAGGCTTATCGCATCTTTAACAAACGGACCCTCAAAGTGGAGGAGTCCATTAATGTGTTATTTGATGAGACTTTTAGCAAGTGTGCAGACAGCATTGATGAGGATGATGACCTAGGTCTGGGGACATCACACGTGAGCCATAACAATCAAACAATTCAGGAACCAGAAACTATACAACCTGTGGAGGAAAACAGCACAGAAGAGAAAGACCAACATCCTCAGGCTCCACCCCACATTGTTCGAAGGCATCCTCCTTCCCTCATCATTGGAGATCTCAGTCGAGGTATGACCACTCGCTCTAGAGCCTATGCTGAACACACTGCATTTGTAGCTCAATTTGAACCTAAATGTGTTGATGATGCCATTAAAAATGAATACTGGTCAGCAGCTATGCATGATGAAATGAACCAGTTTGCTAGAACCCATGTTTGGGATTTAGTTCCCAAACCTAAAGACCGAATAATTATTGGAACCAAATGGATCTTTAGGAATAAAACTGATGAACTTGGAATCATAATTAGGAATAAAGCTAGGTTAGTAGCTCAAGGCTACTGTCAGGAAGAGGGTATTGACTTTGATGAAACGTTTGCCCCTGTAGCTAGACTAGAGGCCATTCGATTACTTTGTGCTTATGCAGCTTCTAGGGGTTTTAAACTCTACCAAATGGATGTCAAAAGCGCTTTCTTAAATGGGGAACTAAAAGAAGAGGTTTATGTCTCACAACCTCCTGGTTTTGAGGATTCAGAACATCCAGATTATGTTTTTAAACTCAACAAAGCATTGTACGGACTTAAGCAGGCTCCTAGAGCCTGGTATGAGAAACTTAGCCACTTTCTAACTGAAAAAGGGTTCCATCGTGGGCAGGTGGACAAAACTTTGTTTATTAAAAATGAAAATGAACACACTCTTCTGGTTCAAGTCTATGTTGACGACATAATTTTTGGCTCCACAAGTCAAAAATTATGTACTGAATTTGAGAATGATATGAAAAATGCCTTTGAAATGAGTTTGATGGGGGAATTGAACTATTTTCTTGGTCTGCAAGTAAAACAGACAAGTCAGGGAATCTTCATAAGTCAGTCAAAGTACTTGACAAACATGCTGAAACGTTTTGACCGTGAAAACTTAAAAATAGCCTCCACACCCATGGGATCTACAGTTAAGTTAACTCAGGATGAGTCTGGAACACCAGTAGATAGCAAAAAATTTCGTGGTATGATTGGATCTCTTTTGTATCTTACTGCCAGTCGTCCAGACATCATGTATAGCGTGTGTGTCTGTGCTAGGTTTCAAAGTAATCCTAAAGAGAGTCATATGTCAGCCATAAAAAGAATCTTTCGTTATCTGATTGGAACTCCTACTCTTGGTCTTTGGTACTCCAGTTCATCTAGCCTAAACTTAGTCAGTTACAGTGATTCTGACTACGCAGGCTGTGTAGTGGATCGAAAAAGTACCTCTGGTGCCTGTCATTTTTTAGGTACTTCACTAGTGTCATGGTTTAGTAAGAAACAGAGTTCAGTAGCATTATCTACTGCTGAAGCTGAATATATAGCGGCAGGCTTCTGCTGCACGCAAGTGCTCTGGATGAAATACCAGCTCGAGGACTATGGTCTTCAACTAGGGTCTCTGCCTATCTTGTGTGACAACACAAGCGCCATAAACATGACCAAAAACCCTATTCAACACTCCCGTACCAAACACATAGAGGTTAGGTATCATTTCATAAGAGAACTAGTTCAGGAGGGTAAAATTCACTTAGAGTTTGTTGGAACTGACTCACAGTGGGCTGACATATTTACTAAACCCTTGCCAGTCGACAAATTCTCTCCCATTCGGCGAGAACTTGGGCTGTTCTCCTTAGAAGAAATAGAGGAAATCATCTAGGATTCCCAGTATTCTTCATTTCCTTTTTCTCCTAAGATTCTTGCCATCTCTATCTCTCATAGTCGCGATAAATCAGTCATTCTTTCCTGAAATCAATGAGTAATTGATTTGAAGACTTAACTCACTTACCTTCTCAGTCCTGGTGATATCTGCTGTAAGTAGGGATCTCTTCACCTCGTTCTTCATCCTTCATCACTCACTTTCCACTCACCAAAATGGCCTTCAATAATGCTCAACTTCGACCTGTGGTTGTGTTCAAAAATCAAGGTTTCAGGAATGCGATCTGCTATTCCAGATACCTTCGCAACTACCGTGATCGTCCCATTTACCCATCCTTCACCATATCCCCTTCTGCCTTTTCCAAGTATGATATGGACATTCCTTCTCTCCTTACTGGTCTTGGATGGAGCTCGTTGACAGAAGATCAACGATATCTGCACTGTCCTGAGGCTGTTAGGCTATTCTATGTCAATATTCGCTGTGATCGGGGTTCTGACCCTCGTTCCTTCACCACCATGGTCTACGACCATGAGATCCAGGTCACTCCTGACCTTCTTGCCTCAGTCCTCTCTCTGCCACACTCTGGGCCGCAGGCTAGCTTTGCTGGTGATTTTGAAAAGCATGGGTTTGACTACGACTCTGCCCTTGCACGGTTGACTGAAGATATTGGGCTGTTCTTTTCCAATAAGCTATCTGCTGGTCGTCTCCCTGACGATCTGAAGGTCCTCCATTTTTTTATCACCCGTTGCCTTCTGCCTCGTGACATCGATGGTGCTGGTTTACTTCACTCCTCTGATCTTTGGATCATGGCTAACGCTCGAGTGCATCAGCCTATTAGCTATGCTTCACTCGTGTTTGCACATATGATTCAATTTGGAAATGGTTACTTCAATGGGGCATTACCATTTGGACCTCTCATCACCCGCTACTTGTATCGTCTCGGTATTGACCTCCGCGACAAAGTAGCTGTCTGCAATGTCCATGAAGATCTTCGTCCAAATCATGTCCTTGTTCGTCTGAATGCCAATGTCGGGCGTCGTAAGCTTGTCTCTGCCTCAGGGGGAGACACTTGCTACTCTCTTTTCTCTCCTGCACTAACTCAGGCTGCTGTTACAGCACTTGATAGTGAAATCAATCGTAGGAAGACTTCTGGAACTGGGAAGACCACCTGTCTTCGTGTCCACAAGGAACGTCTAGAGCTGCTGGAAGCTGATGAGGCAAGACCAGCCCCAGATGACTTCGATCCTATATCCTCTGACTCAAGCTCTGATGATGACATATCAGATTATGAGTCACCTCCTTCTTATCCCTTTTGAATAAGGCTTTCACTCAGGGGGAGCTACTCGTGTCTAGTTAGGTGATCCTGGTAGAATGAGTCTTGGTAGGGTTGTGTCAGGCGTATGGTTGAGTCAAGTTTGGTCAAGTATGGTTTCGTTTTGCTAGAATGTTGATTTGAAGTCAATTGCTGTACTCTTGAACTTCATGAAATAAACAGTCTTTCCAGTTTATGCCTTATGTTTGGAGCAGACTACACCCACTGTGTGCTAAGTGTGTGCAGGAAAGAAAAGCATATAGCAAAAGAGTCATTGACAAGCTTAGGGGGAGCATGTTGAGTGAAGTTTGTCAATGAAGGAAACAATCGAAAGGAAATCAAGTCACATAAGGCAACTCTCAAGGAAGGAAAGGAAGAGCAGAATTACAGGAAATCAAATCATCATTCAGCAACGGCTAGGTCAAGAAAAGGAGAACTATAAAAGCTCATACTAAGAGAAGCAAGCTAAGGTTCTCGGCGAAAAGATTTGAAACAGAAATCTGAGTGTATTCAGAGTGTTTTGAATTGAGAACCTAAGCTAGCTAATCAGGGAGATAGCGAGGGTTTGAGGGTGTTCTGATCAGGGAGATTATTCACCTTAGTGTGCTAGACTGAAAAGCAGGGAGCTCATCTGTTCTAGTTGTGTCAGTATAAACAAGAAACGAGAAATCGTGCTAGTGGTTAAGTAGGGATTCTCAAGAGGAGATATCCCTACCGTGGATTAGTCGATATTGGGATACTTATTCTCCCAATATCGGATACCACGTAAAAGTGTGTGTATTGTTCATTTGCTGCTTGCTGTGCTTTCTGTTATTGCTCTGTTTCGATTTGGTTGTTCAGGTTCAGCGAAGCACCAGAAGCAGAGGAGTGAACGAGGTTGAAGAAGAGGTGTTGTCAGCAGGCTTTGGAGTTGGTACACGATCAAGCCCATCACCGTTGGAAATAATCATTTGGGCCTTAAGCCCATTCCACTAGTAATAACCTAAATTCTTGATCCAATTCGCCTTTATTCATTTCGTATTACAACCTTGAAGTAAGAAACTGAAAAATCAATCATCAACCAGAATCTCTTCACTTGGTTCGCAATCGTGCCGATTAGGGTTTTGCAGGTGTTGAATTTCATCACCCAAATCCAGAAGAAGTAGGCAGCTGGTCTCGCGCTCGACCCACCTACAGTATTCTATTGAGGACGACTTTGCATTAATTTATCGATAAGGTGGCACATAAAATCTTTTCAATGTGTCTTTAGAGCTTGTATTGTTTGACTTTGTCTTATGAATTAGATGTAGATGAGGTCATGATTTTTCTTTTTAGAATTCTGGAGTTCTAGATGTTGTTTCTAATTTTTTTATATTGACACATTGGTAAAAAGATTACTTGAATTTACATAATCACTAGCCGGCGACTACTTAATTAGTCGGCGAGGGAAAGAACTAATCAAAGGGCAATTAATTAAGAGAGACGAAATCATGTTGTAGCAGGTTGGGTTTGATTAATTCCCAACCATTCATCACGTGTATACAAGAAATGCACACATCCTTATCACGCACAAAATCAACGAGGCGGGCATATGTTTGGTCCAGTTTTAGGAAAATTGTTTCAGTCCACAACATCAATTGTTTATGACTCGATTAATTAATTACAATGATTAAAGTAAACCAAACTCCCTTTGATCTCTTCTTATATTGCCTCCCTTTTCTTTTAAGTTTTGTCCTTAACCCTCTTTCTACCATTCATCTAGCCATCTCGTTTAATGAACTGTAAAAGTGTTGTTACATAAGATGTGATCCAAATTTTTATAAGGTTAATAAATTAATAATGAGTTAAATATTTTTATTTAAAAGTCATATCTTTTAGCAATATTTGAAATAAAACCAAGGTAAAGAAGGTGTTAGGCGTAAGGTAGGCGTTAACACCTTGTCTCACGGCTAGCTCGCTTAACCGTGTTTAGGCATTGGAAGAAAAGTAACTATTTGAACTCATGATGAATGAAATAATAATTTATAATACTTCTTCACTTCAATTAAAATGATTAATAACTTACTTAACACTTAACGATAAGAAAATAACTCGAAAAATCCTAGAATAGTAGCTCAATAGCTTACAAAGTTCTAGAGCTATTAGAACTATTGATGCAGAAAATTGATTTCATAATTGATGTTAATTTCATTCTTTAATATTGATTGTGTAGCTCCATCTAATTATGCCTAGGATAGGTGACACTTAGATGTCGCCTTACTCCGTTGACGTGTTCCAGTACCTAACTATGCGTGGAACCCCTAGACTACGAGGCGTTTTGGCATTTCCTAGAAACTAAGCGTAAGATTAATCTCACCTTTTTGAACCATGAATAAAACTATCAATTAGTTCTTCAATTTTCGTATCCTACTATAGATTTTTTTCAATTTTCGTCGGTGCTAGTTTATTAAGACTTTATTGTGTCATTTTAGAACACAAATATGACATTAGTGACACAAATAGGACTTTAACAGTCAATACATGCATATGTGTTTCTTGTCATATTATATATAGACCAATAACTAACACTGGCATTTATCAACAAACTTAAATCTATTACCACATTCATAATTAATTAATCATACATCACAAATTCAATCTGTAATATGCGATTAAATTAACTAACAAACATATAGTAGAGGTCCCTAATATTTGGAGGCACTTCCTGTTCCTGTGCTGACATATTTGATCACGTGCTCATATTATAAGCATTATATGTGGTGAGGTATATAATTTACAAACTTATGAATTATCAACAAGCCAATTATAAGCTTTTAACCAATTCGCTCATAAATTGCTAGTTGTGGTGGATCACTAGTCATACCGTCCATCAATCTTATAGCACAAAATGCTGATGTTAATTAATTCAAACTTTGCTACGCAAAGCTTGTCAAATATCAAAGTGTGTCACTATGTTTACGATTGGCCCAATCTATTACTAAAATAATAATGACAAACAGACAAAGGTATAAAGAAGTTAGGTAACTGGACGTGGAATTATTTTTTGTTAATGCTCTACAAGGCATATAGCTTACTTGATGGTCTAAGCCATGAAATGATTAAAGTAATGAGGGAGAGAGATTTTTATTTATTTCTTTCTTTTTTTATGAAGCGGTTGGGGTTTCATTTCATCAAAAGAGCCAAGTACAATGCTGGCAACATCTCTGCCAGCTGAGAAAAAGGGGGGAAAAACAGGCCCCTGTACACTCAAAAACCAAAGAAATCACTCAATAAGCTAAAAGAAATCACTCAATCAACTGCTCAAAAGAACAGACACACAACTGAAGTATCTACAACAACCCTAATATCACCTTGTACCCTCTGAACCAAAGCATGGAAATCAGCTTTCTTCCCTGCAAACTTAATCAAGCATCTTTCTCTCCAAATTGATGCAATTAGAGCATGCCAAATCAGCTTTCCAGTTTGTGCTAAAACAGTGGAACCTTTGAAAGCAGTTAAGGCCCACTGAAGCTCACCATCCCATTGATCACCAGGGACTCGATCTGCAAAATTACCAAACAAAGCTGCAAACAGCTGTTTAAACCTAGAGCATTCAGCAAAAAGATGAGATCTTGTTTCCAGGCTACAAGAGCAGAAAGCACATCCAAAGTCACCAGAACCACCCCACCTTTGAACCTTCTCTCCAGTTGTGATACAATCATTAATGACTAGCCAAACCAGGAATTGGTTCTTCGGGATGCTAGTTCCTTTCCAAACCAGTTTCCCCCAAGATACATTATCCTTCTTTGGACGAAGCTCCTCCCAAATCTTCCTTATGCAGAATTTTTCCATAAGAGCACCTTTCCAGTAAACCAGAATTTTTATTTATTTATTTTGACAGAACTAATAAAAGCTTTTCTTAGGGAGAAATTTTACAAAAATTTATAGAATCGTTATTTTAGTTTAAAAAAAAATATGATACAAATTAAATTTGTAATTATACTGTTATGTTATGGTACAAATTTGTATCATAACATAAAGATACAATATTTATTTATTGTAAAAACTAAATTTATACCTTTAAACATTATGATACAAGCTCAATTTATAATTTGAAATACATATAGTTTATAGTATAGTGGAAAAGTATTTTATGAGGATAACATAAGTTTATTTTCAGGATAATGTCTATTTTTTATCCAAATCTTTTTCAGATTATTTTATATCATTCAAACCTATTAAAATTCTATTAATTATCCAAATCTTTCACAATGTATCAAAATATTAGCCATTTTTACGTTATCATTAATAATTTTGTTACTCTTTTATTATTTAAAATACTAAAATTTTGGAATATTGACCTTAATGAGTTTCTACCAAGTCAGTATCATGTTGCCAAATCAATATTACTAACAAAATTGTTAATTGGAAGTTAACATTTGGTTAATTTTTAATATTTCGATAGGTTTAAATAATATAAAAGAATCTGAAAAAGATTTGGATAAAAATAAATATTATCTTAGGTTTTGCTTCAGAAAATTTGAGCCCGAATCATCTAATTTGCAGAGTGATAATAATATCGCAAGATCAAACTTTCTTCACGTTATTTGACGAGAGCAATTCATCATCAAACTGTGCTTCTTTGTATTTTCCGTGCATACATTAATGGTGGGTGGAATGCCGTATTCTCTGACCATTCAAGCTAAGCTATGGTTTCTATAGCATTGAGACAATGACCCAAGTATTAACTAGATTTAATAATTAAGTGGGGTAACAGAAAAACTAGTGCATTATTGTTTCTTTTATACGAGACTCTAAGCTTCTTGTATTTTAAATTTAAACCAACCAAATTATATATTATTATTATGTGTGTAGGAGGGTTAGGCCAAAAGCTACGTTAATTTCCGCCCCTTGTTTTGAGCGACAAAGCAGAGGATTGATCGATCCCATTCACATATAGCTAGCTCGATCAAACCCTGTATTATTATTATTATTATTATTATTATTATTATTATTATTATTATTATTATTATTATTATTATTATA